AGCTTTTCTACAAAAACTGGTTTTATAATCGTGAGTGGAAAGGGGCAGGTGAGTCAAGGTGAGTGAGTCTAAATGAGCAGACCTGCCTGCCACCGCTGTTCCTTCAACTGAGTGCTGCACATCATGGGCTCTGTCTGTGAGAGAGAAATCCCGGTGCTTGGTGTCCTTGCATGACATGGAGTTTTGCATGTAGATCGATTTAAAATGTACCTCTTGTTTACATAATTTGCATAATTTTAAAAGATAATGTTGCCAAACTTTGGAAATGTTAATGTTCAAACTGAAAATCTCCACTACATGTAACTTTCTTCCTCTGGATCAGTACGTGGCTTATAATCCCAGCCAGTGGTTTGATCTGTTCCAGTGTCAACTGCCATGTGCTCTGCTTCAAGGGGGAACTAGTCTTTTGTGAATTTTTTGTACATAAGTATTTGTTACAAATATTTTAGCAAATGCTTTCTATTTCTCTTGCTTGTGCATATCTTGGCTGGCGTTACAGAAAAATAGTGCAAACATTATTTCCTTACTGGGGAAAGAGGGTTTTTTCCTTTTTTCTTTTTCTTTTTCTTTTCTTTTCTTTTTTTTTTTTTAGTTTGTGTGTGGGGTGGGGGGGTTGGTTTATGTTGAATGTTTAGTTTTCTTCTGCATGATACGTCATGTTGTGGGATCTTTAGAAAACTTCATACTGTATGAATAAGAAAATAAAATATTTGAAACTTGCCTGGTTGTATTCACAGTGGTCTTCAGTGGGTTTCCATGGTATAGATTTTTTGAAAACACTGTAATAAAGAGATGTTCAATCTTTCATTATAAGCTATGAGTGAAACAAATCTACTTAATCACTGGGTTGGAAAAAAAAAAAAACACTTCACAAGTTATTACAGTGACCTACAAAATCCTATAGGACCTCCCTCTGTCTCCAGTTCCTGCTTCCTTGATTTAATCTCACTATTCACTTTCACTCTGCTCGACCGTAGCTTCCTTGTGGTACCTGGAGGCTTTGGTTTGCTCCCATCTTAGGTTTTTGCATTATTTGTGTGGGCCATCACCCCTGCCCCAAGGCCCCCTCAGTCTTGAAGCTGAGCCTTCAAGTCTTGTATGTCCCAATGCAAACACATCAAGGTCGTTTTATCCCATTGGTTTTTTCCCTTTTCTTATAGCAGTGATCCTTATATAAGTTGAATATATAATTCAACTTATATATATTGTCTTCCTTAGCTGTTAAATAAAACAAGTGAAAGCTCCACAGGGGTATTTATCTAGCCCCAATTGCCCAGAATATTACCCAGCCCTAAGTAGTAGCTTATATATATATATTTTTTTTTAGGCTTTTGCCTTAGGGTGTGTGCATTCACCAGAGAGAGACAAAAGGAAACTGTCACCCCAACCTCCCCTTCCCAGGGATGATATCAATACCATAATCCCTTCTCCTGTCTCCTCTTGAGATTTTGGGATTATGTGTACATGCATCTGGCAAGATTTTCAAGCCACAGGTCCAGGATTTGAACAGTGGTTAGCCATGTGGGAGTCCAATGCCTTAACCACCATGCCACCTGCTGGCCCAAGTTTTTAATTTTTTAGAGAGATTTTTGCTATAGGCTGCATGTGCTCACTGGAGAGACAGAGACAGAAACTGAGAAATTGCCCCCCATGAGGAATGGCCATGCCACAATCCTTTCTCCATTCTCCTTTTGGGATTTTGGGCACGTATGCACACATGCCTGGCATTGCATTTTAAGCCACCAGGTCCAGGACTCAAACTAGGTGGGAGTTCAGTGATGTAACCATTAAACCATCTGCTGGTCCCAGGGCCCTCAATATTTTATAAATGCAGTGTGATGTATGACACTATTTGTGCAGGAATGATTCAGTACTTTGTTATTCAGTACTTTGTCACTCTGCATAAAAGTTAAAAGGTGGTGGTGGGTTTTTTTTCGACTCACTGAACAACTTCATTCATTCAACAATTTTGTAGAGTCCCTGCTGCATGTCCAGCACTGTAGTAGGCCTTGAGATAATCATGACAGGTAAATGACAACCCTGGCCCAAATGAGTTGTGGGATAGTGGAGATAACAATATACTTGTATTGTCAGGTGTGCAGTAGTTACTGTGCACTAGAGTCTGTGGCTCTGTAGAGTATCTTGGAAGTATATTTTTGTTAAGGCTCAGCAAGTAGATGCACTTAAACCCTAGAAACCATTTTCTTAGTTCTAACAGTCTGAGGAATAGACAGAATGACTCCTAAGAGTGAAATGGCAACCTGTGGAGTGGGAGAAAATATTAATCAACTGTACGTCTGATGAGGGATTGATGACCAAACTACAGGTCAAGGACAAAATCTGGTTAAAATACGGGCAAGGGACTTGAATAGACCTTACAGCCAAGAGAATGTACAAATGACCAATAAGAACATGAAAAGATGCTCAACATCACTAGTCATTAGGGCAATGCAAATAAAGCCAAACCGAAGTACCACTTAATGCCCATTAGGATGGGCTGTTACCAAAAACAAGTGTTGGGGAGGATGTGGAGAAACTGAAATCCTTGTGCACTGCTGGTGGGAATGTAAAGTGGTGCAACCACTGTGGAAAATGGTATGGTAATTTTTTAAAATATTAAGACAATCAGGATATGATTAAGCAATTCCACTTCTGGATATATACCCAAAAGAAGTGAAAACAGGCATTTAAATAGATACGTACATACCTGCATTCATGTCAGCATTATTCACAATAGTCAAGGGGTGGAACCAACACGTTTTCATTAAAAGATGGGATAAATGAAATGTGGTGTATACATAAAATGGAAATATAATTTAGCCTTAAAAGAGGACATTTTGACATTTGCGTTAACAAGGAATAACTGAAGGCTAACCAAAAAGCCAAAAAGAACAAATCCTGCAAAAGAACAAATATATATGATAATATGATTCCTGTAGTAATTGAATGAATAGAAAATAGAATGGTGTCTGTCAAGAGCTGGCAGAGGGGAAAATGGAGAGTAGTGTTTGTGCTTAACGGGTATAGAGTGTCAGTTGTAGAAGGTCAAGTTCTGAAGATGGAGGGTAGTGGTGGTTGTATAGTAATGTGAATGAACTTAATGTCAACAACTTAAATATGGTTACAGCAGTATATATGTGTGTATATATATATACATATATATATGGATATATTTAAAGATAGATGAGGTAATAACTCAGTCTTCAAGCTCACATGATTTGAAACAATCGTTTGTCTTCAGAAACTCAATTAAAAATCTCCCATTGCATTAGCTAAACACCTAAGCTATAGTTAAATTCCATTTTAACCATTTCACTTTCTTAGGTATTAAAATCTATCAGCTAACCAGATCATATTGGTGAGTCCTTGCTCTCAAGCCTCCTGAAGACTTACAGGTTTCTTTTTACCAAATAATTGTTTGTACAATGTAAGCATTTTATAAGTTGTAGAATGGTTATGTAAATTGTCACTATATACTATTTTTGTTGTTAGTTTTTGCTATAGAGCAAGTATGCTCACTGGAGTGAGAAATCACCTCCTGGGAGAATGGCCATGCCATCCCTTTGCAGTTCTCCTCTCTGGATTCTGAAGGTACATGCACATGAACCTGGCATGCTTTTCAAACCTCCAGCCCAAGACTCAAACCATAGAATCTGCTATGGGATCCAGCACTTTAACCTCCATGCCATCTGCTGCCCTGTCCCTGTAGACGGTTAGTAATCTAACGTTAACCATGTTCTAGTCTTATCATGGTTAACATGACTCTAGAATCAAGAAAACTAGGTCTGTTTCCCACATGCTCAATGAACATTAACTTTCCCACCAACCTTTCAGGTTGCACAAGAGTTGGAGCCCAGATCTTCTGCAATGCTGCAATGACTAGGAGGAAACACCAAAGTCTCCTCTATCAGCTACCAAATACCAGTATTCATTCTTCATTCCCACTCGCTAATTAGTTGGGTTTCATCTAACACTCTGTCTCCTTTCAAGCCCCAAGTAGTAGTACTCCTGCAGGGAAGGGGAGATAAAACATCTAAGGAAGGGCCCTAAACAGGTTCTTAAAGTACACAAACTTTCAGATATCCCCATGATTAATATTTAGAAGTTTTGGTCAAGGGTTTGAGACATAATATCAAAACCACACTTAATAAAGGGAGTTTGGGGACTAGCAGATGGTGTAATGGTTTCATCGCTGGATTCCCAGAGTCAAGCCCTGGACCTGGTGGGTGGCTTAAAATTCATGCAAAGCATGTATGTGTGCATGCCCAAGATCCTAAGAGGAGAATGGATTGGGGTGTGACCATCCACCCTGGAAGATAATTTCTATCTCTGGCAAGCATGCTCACCCTATTTCAAAAATCTCTCTCTCAAAAAAAAAAAAAAAAAAAAGGGACTTTACTCCATTTGGAAAAGACTTAATAAAAAAGCGACATAATACTTCAAAAATCGCTCTCAAAAAGAAAAAATAAAGGGACTTTATTCCATTTGGAAAAGGCTTAATAGAAAAGGGAGATAATACTTAAAATGTATTTGTAGAAAATAGTTTTGTTTACATTTCTTCTATTACTTAGAAAAAATACACCCCTCATTGGTAATGTCTACTTTCATTAAATACTTTAAAAAACTCCTTGCTTTAACCTTGTGATGTAGGTCTTTTCATTTTAATTTTACAAACGGCAAAACAGCTACGAAGATCAGTCCTCATTGGCTGATTATGACACAATTCTAAAACACACCACCCAGTATTAAGGGTCATGATTCATAGGTTTTCTGAGATGATTATTTTAATTACAATTTACAAAGAAATGTTTACAAATTTATAGTTACAAATTTACTTTAAAAAGACAAATTCACAATAAGTTTCCCTCCAAATGAGATTATTAACTATACAAATCTGTGATTTAAAATTTAAAAAAAAAATGAAGACCAGCAGGTGGTCTGGAGGTTCAGGCTCTGGATCCCACATCGCTGACAGTGAGGTTAGAATCCCAAACCCAGTGATTTTAAAAATGCAGGGCATGTGTGTGTACAATGCCCCAAATCCCAAGAAAAATGGCAGTGTGGCTATGACCCCAGGGGTGATTTCTCACTTCTTGTCTATCCAAGAAGTGCACACACCCTATAGCAATTGAAAAAAAGGGAAAGTGATGATAAGTTACACTTAACGTGTAGGTATAATAACAGTACTAAGTTTTTATATTTAAATTACCCTAGAAGCTGTTTTGCGTGAACAATATTAAACCTTTCCTTTGTTTATGTGTCTGGCTGAGAATGGAAGAAGGGACCAAAGCATAAAGTGACTGAAAATTCTTCAGAGTTTCTTTTGACCACTTGTAGAGTATAAGGGTTTTTTCCCCTAGAGTTAGAGTTCAAAGACAAGATAAAGTCTCTTGTTTGAAATCAGAACCGATCCGCTGATCTGCTAGCCACAGCTCGAATATTGCCATAAACCTTTGATGGAGGATTTCCTGCAAAGGAAACATAAGAAGTCAAACATACTCACATATTTAAAAGACTACATGGAAAATGGTCTACACGCTTTAGAAGACAATTTAAAAGCAACTGAATCTCTTAAATTACCTAAAGGCTTTAACAGAAATCATACCCAAATATTCTCCAAACAAAATTTTGAAATTTTAAAAGCCAAAGGCAAGAGTTGTCAAAATACTTCAGTAAGAAGCCATTCCAGTCAGATCTGGGCACCATAAAGAATCCCAAGTGTTTCCAAGCAATCTGTTAAAATCCTGTAACTCATCAGAAGGTCTGGACTTTGCTGCAGGAGCATGTAAATAGGATTAAGTGGATCAATTAAATTGATCGGAGCTGTTCAGCAGTTCTTTCCGGTGAACCTAGAACATGATGTCCTGTGCTACCCTGGGACGTATTTTCTGAGCGTCTCACTAGGGAAAAACAGCAAGATTTAAACTATTATCCAATAAATTCTCCTTTCTAGTGTACAAATGGAAAAGCACAAATATTCCTACTACTTTTCTCTAGACCCACATTTGCCAACTCCTAAAGGCTTCTACTTGCTATTTTTAAGTATAAATGCTCTGCAAATGTGGTTTGACTTCTTAAATTCCCTACTTTTTTCCAGAGAAAAAGACACCAAAAAAAATAAATTGCTTTCACCTAGGATGAGGTTGCAAATGGCAGTTCTTGCCATCTTGATGTTTTGGAAAGAGCCAAGGATGTGAACTTTCCTAAAAGAGATAAAGTGAGACAAGTTGGCAACAAAAACATTTCCTTAACCTTATAATCCCAAAACTCTGGAAAATCATGATAGATCTTGATTCCTAAATGAAGGCAATGGTGACAATTTAACAAGACTGTAAATAAAATAAAAACCAGTTTTTTAGAAGGATTAATGGGGGAAGGCCAAGAGTGGTGCAGTGGTGAAGGTGGTGGAATCCTGTATGGCCAACCCCAGTTCAAGTCCCAGACCTGATGCTTGAAAATCATGCTGGGTGCATGAGTGTATAAGCCCAAAATCCCAGGAAGAGAATAGAGGATAAGAGACTGTGGCATGGCCATCGCCCTGGGGAGTGATTTCTCACTTTCCCTCTCACTGTCTGTCTCTGGTAAGCATGTGTACCCTACGGCAAAAAAATAAAACAGCCGATCCCATGTGGCTGACCACAGTTCAAACGCCACCCCAGGACTTGGAAGATATGCTGGGTGCATATGCATGTGTGATTAAATCCTGACAGTCACAGAGAAATGGGAGAGAAGGGACTGCGGGTGACCATACCCCATCAAGTGAGTGCTATCTTCCCCTCAACCCACTGCAAGTGCATACGCCTGCTGGCAATTAAAGTGTTTTTGGTTTTCTTTTTAAGTTAAAATTATGGTATATTAATTAGATCTCAATAATGCTTAGAAAAGACAAAAAGTAAAAAACAAAAACAAAAAAAAACCTAAAGCGTTAAGATTCTTGGTTAATAACAGCTACCAGTCAGAGAGTGCTTTCTGTGTGCCAGGGCTAGGCTAGGCCAGGAGCTAAAATCCAGGCTCTTCATGTGGCTCCAGACATTGTGCAGTGGTGCCCCAAACCCTCCACCTGAGCTATTGCAGCTGGGCCCACACTTGAAGATAATTTCAAAATCTATGAAGTTAATAATTCCAATACCCTCAATTCTTGAGTCCTTCACATCTATTATACCAATATTGGGCCCTATTTTTCACTCTACTACTGCCTCTCACTTCTAATGTCAAAACCCAGAACTTGGTCATTATCAAAAACTGCAACCTCCCTGTACCTTCAAATATCCAACTTCCCCCAATACTTCCACCACCACTACCGCCTTCTGTTATTCTAATTCATACCACTTAATCCACTGACATCAATACTTCAGGCCAGCTGGTGGCGTGGTGGTGAAGGCAGCTGGATCCCATGTGACTGACTGCAGTTTGAGTCCCAGACCAGAGGCTTGAATAACATGGTGAGTATGTATATGTGTGCTCAAAATCATGAGAGGAGAGTGGAGGAGTGATTTTTCACCTTCCCCCTCCCTCTCTGTCTCCAAGTGCACACGTACTATAGCAAAAAACTAAAACATTTCAGCTCCACCAAGACCTTTGATCTACTGATGCTACTCACCTTCAGTGGCCTTCACCCTCCCATACAGTCCTCCTGCCCTCCTGCACACACCGCCCTCCGGCGCACAATCTAATGACTTCCCTTCACCCAAAGGCCTCTAACCATGACCTCAAGACCCTGTTATTTCAGATCTCATCTGTCACTCTCCCCCTGGCTACTCTACAAGCCAATTGGGCCCTTACTCTCTGCCAAACGTGCTCTCGACTCAGGACCATTGTGCTTTTTCTTTCCTCTGTCATCTCTTCCTCTAGACACCTGCAGATAGATTGAACACATATATGCTCCTTCCCCCCAAACCTCACTAAAAAGGCAGTCAAGACATAAACCCAGGAGACCTGAAAGTTGACAACTTCTTTGCGCTTGGGAGGCTGCTCCCAGTGACTCTGCAGCTGTCACCTTGCCACTAAACGAATATACTGAATTACATTGTAAATGCTATGGATACCGTTTGGATTACCACGAGAAAAAGAGAAATAAGGAAAGTCAGCAGACTCATGAACATTCAAAGAAGGTAAAAACAATGACTGGTCTGAAGGCTGAGCTCTATCATAAACAGCGCCATGCTGAGAAAATACAAACGAAAAGACTATCAAGATACATGGAAAGAGGAACATCAAATAAAATAATGATGAATGATGCTCCACAAGAAGCAGTACCTATCTGTTGGACAGAGGAAGACAGTTCCAAGCTAAAATACTTCACAAAATGATTAAACAAAAATGTAAAGAAAAAGCGGGAAAATGGGAAGTCCCTCTACCCGAAGTTCGAGCCCAGGAAGAAACAAAAGTATTAAAAGTTATTCGAACAGGAAAGAGAAAGAAGAAGGCATGGAAGAGGATTGCTGGAGATGGCTTTACTAGAAAACCACCTAAATATGAAAGATTCATTAGGCCAATGGGCTTACGTAACACATCCTGAACTGATAGCCACCTTCTGCCTGCCAGTACTTGGTGTAAAGAATCCCTCAGCCCCACTATATACAACTTCGGGTGTTATCACCAAAGGTACAGCCACTGAGGTGAATATGAACGAGTTGGGCCTTGTGACACAAGGTGGCAAGGTTATTTGGGGGAATATGCCCAGGTTACCAACAATCCTGAAAATGATGGATGCCTAATGCTGTCTTACTGGTTTGATAGCAGTTGCACACAAGTAACTCCTTGCAATTTCTGAAGATGTTACACCAACCTGGAAAACCATCATGACTGATGTTTCTGAATATAGCCCTTCTTATAAGTCTGCAGTCATCAAAAGATTATTTATTAAACTGTACAATATTAAAGTGGCCTGGTTTTACCAAAAAAAAAAATAAAAAAAAAAAAAGATTATTTATTAAACTGTACAATATTAAAGTGGCCTGGTTTTACCAAAAAAAAAAATAAAAAAAAAAAAAGATTATTTATTAAACTGTACAATATTAAAGTGGCCTGGTTTTACCAAAAAAAAAAATAAAAAAAAAAAAAGATTATTTATTAAACTGTACAATATTAAAGTGGCCTGGTTTTACCAAAAAAAAAAATTAAAAAAAAAAAAAAAGATTATTTATTAAACTGTACAATATTAAAGTGGCCTGGTTTTACCAAAAAAAAAAATTAAAAAAAAAAAAAGACAGAGACCCAAAGGAAGAAGTTGGTAACGGCAATGAAATCCAGCATGGTGGAAAGCAGAAAGATGAGCAGAATGTGACCTCACACACCAGGTAAATGAAACATAGATGCCTAGTGGGACACCAAGAAGCAGAACTCTGGGGAGGAGCTCCATTATGCCACAGTATCACCAGAGTATCATCAGAGCTCTGAAACAGGCTCACCAAGTACATTTTAAGTTAATACTTATAAAACTATGCATTTATGAACTTAATGACATATAAACCATAATTTCATTAGCAAATCAGTTACATCTTTGGGCTTTTAACAGACGTTTTTTGGGTTCTATAAAGTACTTTAAAATGTGGCATACATTTCCACATTTTTGACATTTCCAGTTCAAGGAAATCGTTTTTAGGGTTCCATATTTCTAACTCTAGGCTTAATCTATAAAGATTTTAAAAAATGTAAAAATACACCTGCCTTCAGGTCAAAAGAGCCCCAACAAAGTATTATAGTTACCCTTAAAGTATAAACAATACCTAACATTTAGACTTTAAATAATGATGAGGTGCTTACTTTAAAGTGAAAATAAGATTTTAAATGAAATTATTAGGTCATTGGGAAAGTCATGATGCATTTTTCTATGCTTTTCTATGTAAAAATGCACCATGACATTCCCAGCAAGCCAGTATTTCTGGATGTGGTCCTGAACATGCCCCCTGCCTCACTGAGTCGTCTTCCAGCTTCAGAGCATCATGCACACTCTCGAGGTGACACCCAGATCCTCAGCTGATGACGGAGCAGCTTCAGTCTCAGACAGGGTAATCTCAGCTTCATGTCTGGCACTTTTTCTTTTTCCTTTTAGGTTTTTACCATCGTGTGCTTGACAGAGAGACAGTGAGAGAAAATGTGTAATCAATCCCCAGGTAGGATGACCACACCGCACTCTCTTCTCCATTCTCCTCCTGGGATCTTGGGCATGCATGCACAAGCATACCAGGACTGATTTTCAAGACTCCAGGTCCAGGACTCGAACCACGGTCGGCCATGTGGGAGTCCAGTGCCTTAACCACCATGCCACCTGCTGGCATACTTATTTTAAGTTCATATTATTTATGTCCACATATAACTGCTCTCTAGTTTTATTTATTTTTTTTTAACCTAATCCACAATATTCACTTTTTATGAAAGGCCTCAAGATACACACACGCATTTGGGGGTGTGTGTGTGTCTATATAAAGGTATACACACACACACACCAATATGAATATATTCATTTATATAAAATATAGGTACATATTTTAAAGAAAAGCCTCAAAAGGCATTTGAAATACTGCCTATCTCCTTTCCTGATTTAATAGATTCCTGAGATGATACTTAAATCTTTATCTGTAATATAATTTAAATAGCAACTCTAAATGCATCCCTCATTGCTAAACAGTAAAAAGCTTTCATTTTTGAAGTTTTCTCAACTAACTTAACTTCTTTTCAAAGTAAGTGACTATTCATCCAAAACTACATAATCCCAAAGATGTAGTGACAACATCATGTACAAAATACAATAATTATGACTTTTTTTTTGCTATAGGTGTGTATGCTCATCAGAGAGACAGAGACAGAAAGTGAGAAATCACCCCCCAGAAATAGCCACACCACAATTCCTTCTCCATCCTCCTCTTAGGATTTTTGGGCACACGGGCACACGCACCTGGCGTGAGTTTCAAGCCACTGCATCTGGGACTCAAACTGCAGTCAGCCATGTGGTAGTCCAGCAATGTAACCATTAAGCTATCTGCTGGTCTCCATTATGACTTTTTGGGAAACTAACAAGAGATCAAATACAAATTATGAGAATCACTTTCTCAAGATCAGATACTTACACATCAGCCAAAACTATCCGCGTCCGAGTCACGTTCTCTATGGTGAATTTGGTCTTTCCTCCTTTGCCAGCAATTCTTCCTATTGCTCTGGACAAGTGATCTCCCTTTAGAGGCTTCACTAAACAAGAAAAGCAAGACCTCAGGAGGTGAGCCATTCACATAACATTTAATCATCAACTAAATTCCCTATAGAATGATATGATATATGCATTTTTAAAAACATCAATAATATAGCTCTCACAGTTATTTTATAAAGTTACATTATCATACAGTTATACGTTAAATTGTAACTGCTAATAACACAGCTCAACTGTTATAAGAAAATTGAGTCATAACACAATACAGTATCCCACACTCACCATCTGTAATTTCAAAAGACTCTAGGAATAGATCATCCAGCCTGATCAGGGCAAGGGCATCCTATAACATAAACATAAATAATTCACATAAAGGCCCCGAGAAGGCACTGTGAACTAATATACTCAAAATGCAGAACTGGTGAACTCAGGGCCAGCAGGTGATGTGGAGGTTAAGACAGCTGGATCACACATGGCTAACTGTGTGGTTTAAGTCCTGGACCAGCCTGAAAACCACACTGCGTGCATGTGCATGCATGCCCAAAATCCTGAGAGGACAATGGAGGAGAAGGGACTGCAACATTGCTATCCTTCCTAAAAAATGATTTTTCACGTTCCCTCTCTCGGGAGAGTGCACGCACCACATAGCAAACTAAAATAATTTTTAAAAAAATTTCTTTCTTTTTTGCTATAGGGCGCATGCGCTCACCAGACAGAGACAGACAGAGAGACAGAAAGTGAAAAATCACCCCCCAGGGGGAATGGCCACACCACAATCCCTTCTCTTCCATTCTCCTCTCGGGATCTTGGGCACGCATACACACGCGCCCGGCATGAGTTTAAGCCACCGGGTCCAAAACTTGAACCGTGGTTGACTATGTGGGAGTTCAGCGACCTAGCCATTACGCTAACTGCTGGTCCCATAAAGTCTATTTTGTGAGAGGGAAAAAAGAGACACGCAGCCCTGTCAGGGCCTCCACTCCACAATCCACCCCAGCCTCAGCCAGCCTAGATCATGGTCACCCATGTGCACCCACTGTAGAGGGAGGCCCTAGGAGGCAAACCCAGAACCTTCCCACGTGGGTTCAGTTGCATTAACCACTGTGCCACCATCTAGCCCCTCAAGTCCGCATAATGATGTCCTAAAATCACTTACCTCCACCTGAAACCCGAGGATAAAGGCTTTCACAAAATCGGCTGCTTTTGTCAGAGCACTAACATCCTTGGTTTCTTTACAAGTCTTTAAAAAAAAAAAAAAAAAAAGAGGTACAAGTTATAGCTATGCATGAAAAAGAAAACATCCTAACAATATACCAGGAATAACCTTTCTTATTATTTTATTTTCCCAGCTCTGGAGCGAGATACTTTTACCCAAAGACTGTCATGAATATAAAAGACCAATCAGACGCTGTGGTAACAAGATGTGTTGGTACTGCCCAACTGCTTACGCACTAAAGCACCTCTACCCCCGTCCATCCCTTCAGTGCCCAAGCTGGCCTGGCCCTCTTCTCCTTCGAGGCAGTGTTCCCTGGGGGTCCTGACCTCATCTGACTTTAATTATCATTTATATGTCAATGTTTCTCAAAGCAACAACTTTAGTGCTAGCTACTTACATGCCTGGTTATACAGAGGAAATAAATTTAAAAATGGTTTAGGCAAGAATCCTGTCCTCTGATAGTTTATTAGATAATTGCAGAAAAGCTGCTATTCATAAAATGCCTATTTCTATAAAAAAAAAATCACTGTTATGTTTCACACAAATAGCACTAATCTATATGCTTTATATACTATAGCATTCATCTTTATGACAACCTTGAATGTTGAGTGATAAACTTCTATAGATGAAGAAATTACAAAGTACACGACCAGCAGTTAGCGTAATGGCTACATCGCTGGACTCCCACGTAGTTCGAGTCCCGGACCCAGTGGCTTAAACTCACACCGGGGGCGTATGTGTGCGTGCCCAAGATCCCCAGAGGAGAATGGAGGAGAAGGGATTGCAGCATGGCCATCCCCCTCTAGGGGGTGATTTCTCGCTTTCTGTCTTTCTGTCTCTGACTTTCTGGCGAGTGCACACGTCCTATAGCAAATAAAACCTCTCCAACAACAACAACAAAAAAGAAATTACAAAGTACTAAAGAGTGAAAAGGTAAGATTCAATCAGTTGATTCCAAAACTGTTAATTCTACTCTCCTGCAAAGATTCATGATCTAGCTGAGGACACCACATACTTGACAAACACAAAATCATGCAGGACTGTATAATAAGAGAATCCTGTGGACATCCATCTTTAAAGCCAGACCCTAGGTCGAATTCCATATGTGACTTTGAACAAATGCCAGATACTCTATGTGTTACATTTTCTCATATGTAAAACAAGGTCAAAGTGGAAGATCCCCAGTGGTCCCCACTAAGCCGTGGTTAAGCACTGTACAAAGTCAGATCCCACATGGCTGACAATCTGAGATTTCAACTCTGGTCCCGGCAGCTTCAACAAGACAGATTCTGACCAGATGGAGAAATGGAGGTAAAAGGATTGTCATATGACTGGGCCCTACCGGGGGTTACTTTCTCTCTTCCTCTTCCTTCTCACCCCATCACCTCTACACTTGCGTTTGGTATAAAAAAAAGAAAAAGGAAAAAAAAATTAAATTAGCCTGATGACTTTGGTAAAAATACTCAACTTCTGTGATCCTCAATTTTCTCACATGCATAAGATGGGGACATATTTAGTGTCTACCTCATAGGGCTGTTCTAAAGACCAAACAACGTAGTGCAAGTCGGCCTGGTATAGAGCAGCAACGACAAATGTTAGTGAAGCCGAACTATGATCATACATTACATAAGAAAGCTCAGCAAAATAAAAGTTTAGGCATTGAAGAAATGACTGAAGAATGTACTTAACATAAAAGGGGAAAAAAAAAAAAACTGAGCCAGACCCTGAAAGATGACTGGAAATGAAGTAAGAAGAGAAAGGAGAGGGAAGAGAAGGCCTTCTTCAGAGGGCAAAGCCACCAAAAAGCACAGAATAAAGAAATGGGAGTGGCTGGTCCCATAGCACAGCAATAAAGTGCCGTGAAGAGGCAGCTAGATCCCACATAGACGACATGGCCCAAATCCCAGCCCCAGTGGCTTGCAAAACACTACAAGCACATGTGCCCCGTGCCCAGGAGCCTGACAGAATAGAGAAATGAAGGAAAGGGGATTGTGGCATGACTGGCGTGTTTGGGAGTGCTTCCCCTCTCTGTCTCCAGGAAATACAAGCATCCTCTGGCTTAAAAAAAGAAAGAAATGGTAAGAGATGAACTTGTGTCTGGGTCTCCTACCTGTAAGAAAGGTTTGGGCAAAAACTTAACTTCCATCCTATAGAAATGTGGAAGGTACCAGGCTATTGTAACAAAAGCATTGTGACCTAGGAAAATTAGCTGGGTACAGAAGAGAGAGTGGAGCAAGGAGAAATTTAAAATGATGAAGCAAAGGAAACCTATGAGGGTATAAGAATCTTGGCATAAAACCATAAAAGCCTGAAAAAGAATGACAATGGGAGCAGAGATGGTTCTACAGTTATGTTCTGTATTTTTAAGCTTTATTATTTGTAGCAGTGCCTATCTTTGTTCCATTATTATAGCCCATTAATAAAGACGAGTCTAGGGACCAGCAGTTAGCGTAATGGTTATGTCGCTGGACTCCCACGTAGTCGACTGTGGTCCGAGCTGCAGACCCGGTGGCTTAAAGTCATGCCGGGCACGTGTGTATGCGTGCCCAAGATCCCGAGAGGAGAATGGAGGAAAAGGGATTGCAGTGTGGCATCCCCCCTGGGGGGTGATTTCTCACTTTCTGTCTCTCTGTCTCTGTCTGGCGAGTGCACGCGCCCTATTCTAAAAAAATAAATAAATAAAATAAAGACAAGTCTACATCAGTTGTGGTGATGATATAAGAATACTCAAAAAGGGAAATATGATTAACTTTGGTCATTGATTCTGGTACAAAATTGGCACTCCGAAGAGGAAGGCCCAATTTAGATTGTAAATTTCTAACTGCTGGACAGACACCAAGGAAAGAAAAAAGATATATAATAAATAAAGCTGGCCCCATGCGCCAGTGGCTAAGAGAGCTGGATTCCACAAGGCCAACTAAGCAGTTTGAATCCTGGTCCCAGCAGCCTGAAAAAGCACACCAGGCATGTGTGCGTAGTGTCCGAAATCCTGACAAGAGACAGAGAAATGAAACGTGATCACGACTCATTGGCTGATGCTTTTTCCCCTCTCACTGTCTTTCTCTGGTGAGTGCACACACCTTATGACAAGTTAAGGAAAAAAGTGTATATATGTCTGAGGGTACTTCAAAATGTTTGTGGAAAATGGTGTTTATTTCTGTGCCCAATCTATACAGTAGAAATTTATGCAGTTCTCTCATGAATACACATTTTCCATTAATTTTTTGAAGACCCTGTGTATGTATTTTCTATTTATTCTCAAAATAATGCATATTTTCTCTCAAAAGAATACCATTAAGATATAAAGTGCTTGTTCTATAGCAAGTTCTTTACATACTTTTAGGATGGTCTATTCTGCCTTCTGGAATTTCAACACAGAACACTATAAGAGATAATGCACACAGTCAGTATTTTGGTATGATCTCAGAGCCAAGTTAGGAATACAATGAATGTTTATGATGAATGCAGATTTTGAAGGCAACTGGGAGGTTCAAAGTCACTGTTAGATATTTAAAAACCGGAAGAACATAATTGAAAACAATAGTCCCATTAAGCAATCTATTCATGCCTCTTCACCCTTGTAAGAAAACCTAGTACACAAGGAAATGATTGACATTCTCCTTACCCTGATTTCGACATTCCTTGATTTCAAGTTAAAGCGTATCTGAAGTCCCAAATGTTCTACAATAGGGGTAAATATCTTCATCCAGTTTTCTTTTAACGGTGTGTATCTGTTAGCTGGGACGGAAATTTTTCTTGTTTCTTCTTTCCCACTCTACAATAAAAGAATACACAACTCAGAAAACGTATAGATGGTTGGGAGTGGAGCTGTAAAATGACAGCTGATCCACAAAAAAGCTTCAACTGGATGAGTTAACTTCAGAAATGAGCCCCCGCAATGTCAACATCACTCGGAGGTCACCGGCCTGACCCTCCTCTGCCCACTACCTAGTTCCTATTTCCTCTCTCCCGTCCTCCCTGCCATACCAAAAGCCCGTCCCCGGAGAGGGGCGGGTAGAAGGGCCTCTTGGTCGGCCGGGCCTCCTCGGTGTCCATTCGGCCTGCGTCCACGCCCTCCCCCGCTGCGGACAGCTGCTCAGCCTGCCGTTTCTTCGCCCGCCGGGCACCCTTACGGGTGACCTGGGTGAAGCCGTCCTCGGCCCCGGCGCTCTGTGCCTCCATCTCGGTTTCCATTCCCAGGACTCTGCAGCCGGGGTAGTCGTGCCAGCTTCAACACGTGCGCAGCCGCACCGCGCCGGAGCCGGTGTAGGGCTCTCCCAGGGCTCCGCCCCTTCCCTAAGTCCCACGCCGGGGACCTAACGCTGAATAAGTGCATATGTGGAGAGGGCGGCCCTAGACTATGCCTGATTCTCATGGTCTGTTTCCAGCCGCGAACTCTCACCTAAAGCATTGTCTAACCTCTGTTAATGTATGTAAAAGGCGGCGGGTTAGAGTGATAAATAAATGTGTGCCTTCTGCGAAGAAACGCCTTGCGTAGTCTCAGAAACGCATCTGGCATTATTGGAAAGGACTAAATCCAACTTGTTAAGCCAGGGGGAGTACGGCAAGCGGGAGGGGCGAACTCACATCAATGTTTGGAGTCTGGTATCCAGGTTAGGGTTTTGTCGGGGTCTGGGCGTGGCAGTTGCCATCGGCTGGACCATGTCGGCCTTCGAGAAGCCTCAGATTATCGCTCACATCCAGAAGGGGCTCAACTACACGGTGTTTGACTGTAAATGGGTGCCCTGCAGCGCCAAGTTTGTGACCATGGGCAACTTCGCACGGGGCACCGGCGTCATTCAACTGTACGAGATCCAGCACGGGGAGCTGAAGCTGCTTCGGGAGGTGGGTGCCGGGTCCACACGACGCAGTTCCGGGATCAAGACAGCCGTTGGGGGCGAATGACGATCCTGGGGTCTGCATTCCTCTTTGCCAAAGCCTTGGTGCTGCGTCCCCCTAAAGCATAGCTCAAACTGCGCGGGACAAAGAAGCTGATCTCAGATTGAGGAATGCTTCCTATTTAAATGCTTTCCTCCATCCCCCCAGTCTTGAATTCTCAACGACGAATTCATTCATCCGCGTCCTTCTGGCCCCTTCTTCCTGCCACCCCCAGCATAGTCTTACGTGTGGTTTTTGAAAGTGGCGCTAAGAGTTCGCGTCTAAATCCGAGAACCCTCAGGGCAGTTCGCCCCTGTTTGTGGAGTCTGTTAGATCTAGGTTAGTAATACTTTCCCATGCAAGCAGAGCCAAAGCAAGCACCGGGATGCCTGGTTGGAGGAGACAACCTAACACCTTTATTCTTTCGACTGGTGTCAGATAAGGGCCTGGTTTTCCCAGACACATGAATGGTATTTAAAAGATTGATGCCTTTTTTCAAGGAAATATGGACATCATTGAAGCGCTTTAAGCAGGATGTGACAAGATGAGATTTACAGGAATAAGAGAATAATAGCTGTTTGCCCTATTAAAAATGTATTGATTTGGGTTGCCTGAAAAGAAAACCACTTCGTTATAATTGGGTGGTTAGGGTTTCAGTAGACAGCTAGTGCAGGGAAGAGTGAGAACTCCAAGGACCAAAAGCCCTAGAAAGAATTGGCTTGGAAGAGACAAGGGTGAAACTGGTAGGTAAAAAATGAATACAGTTTGGATAGGTAAGTTTAGATTGGAAGGCATGTAAGGCCCCAGTCCACTTTAGATTTCCCCAAGTGCCTCTTTTCTTGACAGTTTGTTTTTTTGTAGCCAGCTACTCTACTCAGAGCTTCTAAACATGACTTGTTCTTTTTCCACCTTTTCTCAGGTTGTCACTTAGCTCTCAGTCCCAGTTTACCTGTTACTATTCTAATTTCTAGTTCAGATTATCTGATGTATGAAGTCCTTCCTGATCCCAATACAAAGGAACTTTTCTGTACATTGCATACCTATAGAATGGAATTATTATCTGTACCAGAAAGATGCATTCAGTTCCATTTTTCTAACTAGATTGTAAGCTCCTGGAGAGTAAGGACAATACCTTTCCTTTGTGTGCTTTGTAAGGAGCAGCTACTCAGTAAATTGCTTGTTACAAGAATGAGTGAATATATGTCTGTACATAGGATATGTCTTGGGAACTGAAATATTTGTTTATTAATCATTAATCAACTTGGGGTCAGAGGTTTGAACAAATGAGGTACGTTGAAATACAGAAAAAAACTTAAATGCCAATCAAAACCCAATCAGAAAGTATTTGTAGACTTGTGGTTATTTTAAATACGAATATATGATTTGTATACATTTCAGGAATACAGTTATTCCTTCTAATAAAATAGTACTTTTTAGGTGGCTAGAGGGTGGCATGGCAGTTAAGGTGGTTAAGGTACGGAATTCCCACATGGCAGACTACAGTTCAAGCCCTGGACCTGGCAGCCCGTGAAAATCACACTGGATACATGTGTGCGTGTGCCCAAAGTCCCAGAACAGAAGGGACTGTCACATGGCCATATCCCCCAGGGGGATGATTTCTCACTTTCCCTCTGTCTAACTTTGGCAAGTACATGTGCCCCAAGGCAAAAAGTAAATAAATAAAAATAAAAGTATTTGCTGTCTCTTCTAGGGATTCTGGAGTATTCTAGCAAGTTTTAAAATAGCTTTTTAGCAAAAGTAAGATGTGTTCATGCGACCAGCAGTTGATGTAATAGCTATGTTGCTGGACTCCTATGTAGTCGACTTCGGTTCGAGTCCCGGACCCAGTGGCTTAAACTCACGCCGGGCATGTGTGCGTGTGTGCCCAGGATCCCAAGAGGAGAATGGAGGAGAAGGGATTGTGGCCATACCCCCTGGGGGGGATATCTGGCTTTCTGTCTCTGGCTTTCTCTCTTTCTCTGTCTTTCTGGCGAGCACATGCATCCTATAGCAAAACCTCTCAAAAAAAAAATAAATAAAAAGATGGTCATGATAGACTATTTAGACTATATATATAAGAAACAGAAGAAAACATCACCTATAATCTTAACTCCAGGAATAGACACTTTTATATTTTCACCTGGATCCTTTGAGTTTTCTTTTTTTTCCCCTTGATTATCTATTGAGAACTTACGATTTCAAGGTACTTTGCTAAAAAAAGGACCAAAGTTCCTCTTCCTAAAGAGCTAACTATCTAAAAAGAGGGTAAGACAAATTCACAAACACATTTAAGAGTTATATTGTATTGGGTTGACGCAGTGGAAAAGAATATAGGTTAAATACAGGGTCGGTGATTCTCACCCCTTACCAGTTTTTTTAAAAGGTTTTTACCATAGGGCATGTGCTTGCCAGCAAGAGACAGAGAGAGGCAGTGAGGAGGAAAGTGAGAAATCATTCCTTAGGGGCAATAACCTTGTTGCAATTCCCTCTTCTCCATTCTCCTCCTGGGATTTTGAGCATGCATGCACACATGCCAGATGTGATCCTCAAGCTGCCAGGTCTGGGACTTGAACTGCAGTTGGCCATGGGGGCATCTAGTGCCTCAGCCACCTCACCACTGCTGGTCCCCACCTATGTATGTTTTATTGCTGCTGTTGGTTTAGTATATGCATGTTTGTTTTTCATTGCTAGAGGATATGTGCACTCTCCAGAGAAAGACAGAGAAAGCACTCTGCAGTGGGGCGTGGCCATGCTGGCAGTCTATTCTTTATCCTGCCAGGATCTGGGGCACACATGCACATGTGTGTGTGCACAGTGTTTTTCAAGCTGCCAGGTTAGGACACAAGCCACAGGTCAACCATGTTGGATCTTGCTCCATATACCACGAGGCCATGGGGCCGGCGCAGTGTGGGCATGTTTTAAAATCTTCATGCCTTGGTCCCTCTCTCAGAAATTCTGACACAGTTGTACTCGGTTGCATCTATACTAGAGTAAGACCTGCCCATTAGTTTTTGTTGTTTGTTTGAAGACAGACCTCCCATATGTTGAAATGCTACCTCACCTTCCCAGCTGGGGACACAAACACACTAGCAAGCCCAGCTCTGTTTTTAGATAGGATCTGGCTTGCTATGTTGCTTAAGCCACCTTGACCTCTTGGTTTTCCCTGCCTTGGCCTCCCAAGTTGCTGGGATTACTGGTTTATGCCACTGTGCAGTCTTTAGGTAAGACTGGGAACTGAACCTGGGCCTCTCATGTGGTCCAACATTGCAGAGCATAGCGTCTTAGCAGTGTTGCTACTGTCTGTCACTGGACCATGGACAGGCGATGCTAATGAGTCCCAGGTTTGAGAGCCATTGGGCCAGATGAATTATTAAAATATTGGGAAATGAGACCAGTAGTTGGTGTAATGGCTATGTCGCTGGACTCCCATGTAGTCAACCGCGGTTCAAGTCCCAGACCTGGTGGCTTGAACTCACGCCTGGCACATGCACGTGCGTGCCCAAGATCCCTAGAGGAGAATGGAGGAGAAGGGATTGCGGCGTGACCATCCCCCCTGGGGGGCGATTTCTCTCTTTCTGTCTGTCTGATGAGTGCACATGCCCTATAGCAGAAACCTCTCCAAAAATAGATATATATAGGAAAACATACTTCATTTATCATGATAGAACTACCCTAAGTCATGTGCTCCAAAGCCTGTTCTTCTAAAAAAATCTTGATGAAGGAAGTGTATGGGTCTTTGTTATGCTCTTCATGATTACTAAAAGAATAGTTGGGAAATGGAGGGCAGGGCCTCCCTGTACAGTTGAGTAGGTAGTTGCTCCACACAAAGGTGCCTGCTAAGTGTTCAAAGGGCAGCAGAAGTCTCTCCTTTTCCTTCATCAGCCTATAAAGGGCATCTTCATTCTTTTTTTAAATTTATTTTAGGGTGTGGTTGTGGTATGTGCACTGGGGGAATGGGGTGGGTTGCGGGGGGAGAAAGAGCAAGCACCCTTCAATTGCCAGAGGGTGTTGTCATACGCAATCCTTTTTCCTTTGTTCCTCCATCCCGTCAGGATTTGGGGGACACACACACACACACATACACGTACACGTGGGCTCCCAGATTAAAATTTTCAAGCCCCTGGGCTGGGATTTGAACAGGGGTCAGGCATATGGTTTTTTAATACACAAGGCTTAACCGCTGTGATCCAGGGTTTTTCCAAGGGGACCATTTTTCTAATTGGCACAAAGGTACCATATAGACTAGGGGTGGCCCTTAAAAATGGAGTCATGGTTGTGGATGTTTATACTATAAAAATTAGCAATAAGCTTATTAAAGTTCTTTCTTAGCGCCTGTGCTACTGATTTCACTGCTTGTTAGCATTTGGTTGACTAAACCTTTTAATGTTAATTAGGTAGTGCCAGGATGTGGAGGAGGAAATACTGACAAGCTGTACTAGACCCTCCCACAGACAGAACAGAAATAGCTCTCCCAGGGATCATCCATCACGGGCTTGGTTAATCACGTTAACTTAATTGTAGTGAGAACCAATAGGTGGGCCATACGATCCTGATGGTCATTTTCAGTGTCATGTAGCAAAAAGTATGAGTAGATACTAATTTTTTCTGTGGAACAATTATCGCTAACCTTTTTTTTAACCAGTTTTCTATGAAGAAAAATTCTGTTACCAATGAATTCTTTTTTTTTTTTTTTTTTTGTTTTTCATAGGTAAAATATTTAACAGGGGCACAGAGGAACTCTTTTGTGAGCTATAAAAGATTAGCTTCAGGGGCCAGTGGGTAGTGTGGTGCTGAAGGCACTGGACTCCCACATGACCGACCATGGTTCAAGTCCCAGACTTGGTGGCTTGCTTTCTTTCTCTCTGGTGAGCGCATGTGCCCTATAGCTAATTTTAAAAAATAATAATTAAATAATTCTCTAAAAAGGAAAAAGAGTTAGCTTCAATAGTGTCTTCCCTTACTGTAGATCCTATTGTGATTTCCATGTAGGTCTGAGGAGGGAGAAAACACACCTACATTTATAAGTCCATTTGCAAGCAGAGCTCAGTCCTTCTGAGCAAAGTATGGCCCTTGCTCTACATGGATGATAAAGTGTTAATGTTTTTTATTTCTAATACATTTATATATTTTCAGTTTAACTTGATAATTTAAAAAAATAATTATTATTTTATTTAACTTTATTTACTTATTTTTCAATTTGACCAGAGAGGGACAGAGCAGGAGCAAGAGTGAGAGAGAGAGAGAGAGAGAGCGAGCGAGCTACCAGGTCTGGGACTAGAGCCGCGGTTGGCCATGTGGGAATCTGGTGCCCTTAACCACCATGCCACCTGCTGGCCTCAAGTTTAACTTGATTCTTGTACAACAGACCACCAATAGCTATAAATCTCTTTGTGCTTCTTTGATACAGGAAGAGAGAAAAGCGAATATGAAACATAATGCCATATGTAATATTTATATCTTGAAAAGATAGGAAGTAAAATCAAAGGACGGGGGCTGGCAGGTGGAATGGTGGTTAAAGGTGCTGGAATCCCATGTGGCTGACCATGGTTCGAGTCCTGGACCTGGCGGCTTGCTTTCTCACTTTCCTTCTCTCTCTCTCTCTCACTCTGTCCTTCTCTTGCCAAATTAAATGAGTGAATAAATAAATACAGGTAAATAAAATAATTTAAAAAAAAACAACAAAGGACAGAAATCTGAAAACGGTTTTATTTGTTGCCTCTACTGGTTACCTCCCCAATTCATTTCAGGATTGAGACATTTCTTTAGTACTTTTTTTTCTTTAAGATAGAGTGAGAGGGGAGTAGGTACTAGTAGGTTTCAGAAAGTTTTGTGTGAGTTTTAGTACAGAAGTTTTTGAAATTCAAGCATAGGTTTTGTTTTTCGTTTTTTGTTTTTTTTAGAGAGAGATCTTTTTTTATAGGGTATGTGTGCTCGCCAGAAAGACAGACAGAAAGCGAGAAATCACCCCCCACCCCAGGGGAAATAGCCACGCCACAGTTCCTTCTCTCATTGTCCTCTAGATCTTGGGCATGCACACACAGGTGCCCAGAGTGAATTTTAAGCTGCCAGGTCCAGAACTCAAACCACAGTTGACTACGTGGAGTCCAGCAAGGTAACCATTACACCATCTTCTGGTCCCCAAGCATAGCTTTTTTTTTTTGAAAAGGTTTTTGCTACAGGGTTCATGCGCTTGCCAGAGAGAGAAAGAGACAGAAAGACAAAGTGAGAAATCATCCCGGGGAGGGGGGGAATGGCCACCCACAATCTCTTCTCCTCCATTCTCCTCTCAGGATGCACACACACGTACCCGGTGCAAGTTTAAGCCACTGGGTCTGGGACTTGAACTGTGGTCGACTACATGGAAGTCCAGTGACATACCCATTATGCCAACTCCCGGCCCAAGCATTGCTTTTTTATAGGATGTATTTTCCATAAACTTTTTGGAGACTTTTTGATAGGGTCTCACCGTGCCTTAATTCTCTTGCCTCAGCCTTCTACTTAGCTAGTATTACGGGTGTGTGCCTCTGCACCTGGCTTGTTTAGATCGGTTTGGGAACTGAACCTCGTCCTCCCATGTGGCCCCAGCTTCACCTCAGTGGTGTCCTCCTTATGGTACCCTCATGACTGGACTGTCGTTAGTATTTCTAATGACTTTGAGATTTACAGAAGAGGGCTACATAATAGAATCTTTATTTAAGTGACTTACATATAGGCCTGGGAGCATGTAGCCTAGTTTAATAGGAAGAGCTTAGCATCTGCCTGGCTCACTCGGTGCCCCGAACTCGTTTCTTCATCTTGAAAATGGTGTCCTGAACACTCAAGTTTGCAGTGTGGATTGCGTTTGAGGGGGGATGATGTAGTCTGGAAGAACATCTAGGGCAGGATCTCATTAATAAGTGTTCGATCTAGGGAGGCCATTTATGTGATTGCACATAAATGACACTGGGGACAAAGGTTTGTCAGAGCCCTGGTACTTGAAAACATGGTGGGAGAAACAGGAAAGGGCGCTCCAGCATTGGTCTCTCCCTCTCGAGCACAGCGGCGGAGAGATTAATGTGTGTTCCTTACACCTTCGTTCAACAAGTGTAGAGTATCTGATGGCTTTTAAACTCATTGAGCAACATCCTGCTCTCATGACGGTGACATTCTAGAAAAGGAGGCCATAGATAACTGAGCAAATGAAATCCTTTTATCGATAAGTGCAATAAGGAAGCCCAAACAGGCTGAGTGATAGTAGTTCGGGGTTCCACTTGAGATAGGAGAGGCAAGGATGGCAATTTGCACTGAAATATGAGGGAGGTGAAGGATGGAGGCAAGGCGATCTGGGAAAAGTGCCGTCCATACAGTGGGAAGAGCAACAGCATTAGTCCTGAGGTGGAAATGAAGTATGCTGAAGAAGATGACGCTAACTGACCCAGGTGGCTGGCGTGTGGTGGAGAGACAGGGGGAAGCAGGAAATGGAGTGAAAGAGACTGCCAGCACTAGATTTGAGAGGATTTTGTAAGCCACTAGCCTTAGTGCCACTCCTGTGAGCCTTTGCCTCTATGTAGGCACAGTTTGCTGCTTTTCCTTTATATTTGTAATAAAGATCCACCTTTAGAATCCATGCAAAGACAGTCCTGAAAATCTGTAGTACAGGGCCTGTCATCGTAGGACAGTTCTCAGTTTGGTTTCTTCCCTTTAAAGACAGTGATTGGTAGATGTTTACATGTGTCACAGAATCTGCACATTGTGGTGCTGTTTGGGGGATACCATGAAATGCTGGAGCAGTCAGTTCCATTTCTGCACAAGGAAGAAGTTTCCAGCAGAAATATCTGACCATGCGTATTCCTGATCTTCACAAGAAGTAACCATGCCTCATTCTTCTGAAACCCTCATTTCCAGATGTTCAGGATTGCCTGACTGTCTTTCTTCTCTCCTTTTTTTTTAAATGAGAGAGAGAAGGGAGAAAGACATAGAGAGGTGAAGACAGAAGTCCAACTGCTTTTTCCTATTTCTAAAATCCCTTCCAGGGGACCTAGGGTGAGTCATGCCCACAGACATTAACAGATCATTTTGACCCATTTGATAACAAAATTTTCCTACATCCTATCCCTGGCATAGTATCCCTGTAATGGGTGAGTCATGCCCACAAACATTAACAGACCATTTTGACTCCTGTTGTAAGAGACTAAATAAGAAGAATGATTTTGTTCTGATGAGGCTGACAGTCAATGGGAAATATTACACAGCTAGAGTGTGGAGCAGGCCTCAGTGGCTTCATCTGCTGGGTCATTGGAAAAGTCATGACACATTTTTGCATAGAAAAAAATACATCATGACTTGTCCGACAACCCAATATTTCCTTTTTTTTTCTTTATTTGGAGAGGTTTTTTTTTGTTGTTGTTGTTGTTCTAGGGCTTGTGCTCTCGCCAGAAAGACAGAGAGAGACAGAGACAAAAAGTGAGAAACCAAGAAACCACCCCCCGAGGGGAGATGGCCACGCCTCAATCCCTTCTCCTCCATTCTCCTCTCAGGATACTGGGCACGCACGCACACAATACCTGGCGTGAGTTTAAGCCACTGGGTCTGGGACTCAAACCGTGGTTGATTACATGGGAGTCCAGCAACGTAGCCATTACGCTAACTGCTGGTCCCAACCCAATATTTTCTGATTCTAGAGTCTCCAGGGGTCAAGTCATCAGGAAGCACAGTTAGATATTATGAGGGACTTCAGTGACCTTGGCAGATGGAGTTGGAGGTAGCAAGGGATAGATTGGAAACCTACAGAAATAAAAGAGATTGATGAAAGACCCCGGGAGGTGTGGGAATATATGAAAAGAGTCAAATAGGATCTGATATTTGAGTTGTAAATCTCTTGAGAGGATGGTCACTCCCAACAACCTTTGTATCCTTTTTAGCCTAGTTCAGTGACTTGCATGTAGTGGGAACTCAGTGAATGTTGAATGAATTGGGCAAATCTTTAAAGCTCTAGGCTTCAGCTCTAGGCTTCAGTCTCCTTCTATGACTGAAGAGGATTGTATCGATTATTTCCAAAGTCCTGGTGATTTGGTCTGCAAGGGAAACTGTGGGAGACATCAACATTTTTGTTCCTGTAGCCATCTGGAAAGAAGAAGATCTTCAATATGTTCTCATTTCTGTGTTTCTTTCATACTTGTAAACCAAGGAAGATCATAGAGTTTGTCAGCATTTGAATGTCTCATAAGAGAAGAGGCAGATTAAAACGTCTTTTTTGACCATTTGTACTTTATAGAAAAACGACTAAAGGAAAAGCATGATCATTTTTATCAGAAAATGTTTTGTCATTTATATATCTTTATTTAACTCTCATAATAGAGCCCTACATATTACAGATTATAAATAACCGCCTAATAAATAATGTATTCTTTTGTCCTCCTTTTATCAAGATTGAAAAGGCCAAACCCATTAAATGTGGAACATTTGGTGCTACAACTTTACAGCAGAGATATTTAGCTACTGGAGATTTTGATGGAAACCTTCATATATGGTAAGATTATTTAATCAGTATTCAGCCAAAGGAGCTAAGCAATTTTTTTAGTTTTATTACCCTTCCTCTGAAAGAATTCTGATTTTAAAATGTTTCTTTTTCTTGTTCAGTCTTAACTATGAAAACACGAGAATTATCTTTCAATATATATTTTTAGATTTTATATTAAAAATCTTTTTTAAAATGATAACTTATTTTTCTTTGGATATTTTGCATAATGTTGAATCAGTACGTATTTTTACACATGCTCTTCGGTGCTAGCATGAAATGCCTTGTATTTGTAAACTGAAGTCTACCTTTATTAAAAGTTACGTACCCTTTACCTTTAAAGATATTCAAGGGGCCAGCAGTTAGCGTAATGGCTATGTCGCTGGACTCCCACATAGTCAATCGTGGTTCGAGTCCCGGACTCGGTGGCTTAACCTCACGCCGGGTGCGTGTACGTGCGTGCCCAAGATCCCGAGAGGAGAATGGAGGAGAAGGGATTGTGGCGTGGCCATTCCTCCTGGGGGGTGTTTTCTCACTTTCTATCTCTCTGTCTCTCTCTCTGTCTGTCTGGCGAGCGCATGCGCCCTATAGCAAAAACCTCTCAAAAAAAAAAAAAAGATATTCAATATAAAAATGCATATATGGGGACCAGCAGTTAGCGTAATGGCTTTGTCGCTGGACTCCCATGTAGTCAACCGCGGTTCGAGTCCTGGACCCAGTGGCTTAAAACTCAGGCCGAGCACGTGTGTGTGCGTGCCCAAGATCCCCAGAGGAGAATGGAGGAGAAGGGATTGTGTCGTGGCCATCCTCCCAGGGGGTAATTTCTTGCTTTCTGTCTCTCTGTCTCTCTCTGTCTGGCGAGTGCACGTGCCCTATGGCAAAAACCTCTCAAAAAAAAAAATGCATATATGTAATGCTGGAAAAGTTAAACTTTAATTGTTTATATTTCAGTTAGAGATTTGGTATTACGGGGCCAGCAGGTAGGGAGTTAAGGCGTTGGACTCCCACATGGCTGAGTGTGGTTTGAGTCCTAAATCTGGCAGCTTTAAAATCACACTGGGCTTGTGTTCATATGTGTCCAGTATCCCAGGAGAAGAACGAGGGAGAAGGTATTGCAGTGTGGCTGTCCTCCCTTGGGGGCGATTTCTTACTTTCCTCTGTATGGTGAGCACACATGCCCTATGGCAAAAAAATCTGAAAAAGAGAGAGATTTGATATTACAAAGTGATATATAGAGTTTTTTTCTATTTTAATTTTTTAATGTAGAACTCTAATTCATTTAAAGTTTGTTTATTTATTCATTTTTACTGCATTAACTAACATATAAGCACTACTTAGGAACACATAAACCTGTTATGAATGAACAGAATTACAATTGTACCAAATGCCTTTAATCTTCATATTTGAACTACAGTTATTTCTTCATCTTTAGAATTTAATGAATGGAAACTCCTCTTTAGTTGTTTTTTTAAGGAAGATCTATTATTTTAATTATTTAAAATATACGCTAATGTTCTAAACAGAAACTATCTTCCCTAGATCATGTTTTCTAATATGACTTTTCTTGATTCTCACTTAGAACCTGCTACTTTTTAATTAAATAACCTTGACATATTTATCTGTCTTAAGATCACAACATAAGTCAGAATTAAGTTATTTTAGGGGCTGGCAGATAATGTGGTGGTGAAGGGAGCTGAACTCCCACATGGCCGGCTGTGGTTTGAGTCCTGTACCTGGCGGCTTGCTTTCTAATTTTCTCTCTCTTTCACTCTCTACTTCTCTGGTCAAATTAAAATAAATAAAGTTAAGTAAATTAATTCTTTGGAAAAAAGTTAAAAATAAAGAATGAAGCAATTTTAGTTTCCTCTTGCTTTAGCTATCTAATAATGAAATTAACATTAACTAATCAATTTTTACATGCAGATGTCATACT